TTTACAGACAGCTTGGAAGAGGTTTGTTTGGCTTAATTTTTCATCCGTCTCCCTCCTGTATTTTTAAAGAACATTAGCAACAAAAAGAGCCCTCGTAATAGTATTGGGTCAATTGGAAATGGTAAAATTGCCACTAATCATTCAGATGAGACAGATGTGATCAATAAATATTTCTATCCTGTATTTGGGGAGGGGGGGACCCACATCACGTAGTTATATCACATGATGATGATTAAACACTTTCCATTCCTCTGGTATCTCAAGACAATGTTACAAAGCAGTCATTAAAGTTAGTCATTTTTAGATCAGTAGGTCTAGATAACTTGAATCCCAGAGTTTTTTAAAGTGTTGGTCGAACAGTTTGTTGGACCGTTAATATTGATTTTTCTATAATTCTTGAAACACTGGGGTGGATGTTCCAGGACACCAGAATAAAGCTACTGTTCTGTCAATATTTTAAAAGGGGATGTCTATGTGATATAGAAAAAATACCATGTTAACAAGACCTAGAAAAGGCAATGGAAAATAATTTCCTTTTCTTGTTTTTTTAAGTCTCTTATTAAGGTTTTACAAGATAAAACTACTTCTACAGACTGCACTAAATCACATGTTTGTTCATGATGTGTTTATGCCACAAACTTTTGTACTCTATTATGGCACTGCCTTGCATGTAGATGGATGTCCTCAATACTTATCTTGCAATCTCATGTTTATTCAGATGCTGGCATTTTCTTGAAATTGTAAAACTGAATGGTAATGTCACTGGCTTTTTTCCTTCGCTCCATGAAAGGCTCTTGGCTGTCTCTAAATGTTCTTGAGAGTAGTGTAGATGTAGAGGTACGGTCTCCTATCCTTTCAGGAATTATGTCTGTGTATTATGCTTTGAAAGTAAAACCACCACCAAGAGCCCCTCTCTCTTGCTCTCTCTTTCTTCCATGCCCCTACAACAGGGGTGTAGCCAGGTCTGACCAAATCCAGTGTCAGACATTCGAGTTGCTTCAGTTTCCCCCTTTTCTTCAATTAAACCACCACAACTGGTGCTGTTGAGTTACTCTCCCATTTTGGGGCATCTTGGTGATTAACATAAAATAACAATTGGAGTCCCCAAGCTTTCTTCTCGAGGCTCAGCAGTCCATTATGCCCCTCCAGGTCTCAGAATTGCCACCAAAATTTTGCTCTTGCCTCTCACTGCAAATAGTTCCAGCTAGACCTTTTCCGCTGGTTGGTGGGGAGAATGACTGGGTCTCATCAGGTGCCTGCGAAAGCCACCCCCATTCCTTTCAAGT